CTAACAGAAATTGAGATTTCAATAAAATAAAATAGTCTTCCTAATTTTACACAACTCATAATATTCCAATTATTTCAATAGCATTCTGTGCATATCTTCGCAGGTTTTTGATACAACTTTTCCCATTGGTTTTTTTATTTTATTTACTTTTTGTTTTTTTATATAATTAATTTCTTCTACCCTGTGCATTTAGCCATCAGTACAAGAGATCTGTCCCACAAGATACATGAAGCCCGCATAACCTGAGCATTTAAACTCTTGCATAGTTGCAACAAAAGATGGATATTCAAGAAAAGACACCCCAAACACTGTTCAAAGTGATAGGAATACAAAAAAAATCAACTTCGAGGATAAAATCTATTAACCATATTTCAAAAGCAACAGCATATACCTCCCATTCTTCTTGACTTTGAATTCCTTCATAAGCCATCAGGAAGCGCTTTGCCTTCCTAAGTGCATCACAAAGAGGAATTGGCGATTTATCATCAATATCTGGGTTTGTGCCAAAATCTCCCATCAAATACTCTGGCTCACACTCAATCTGCAAACCAAAAGACCAAAACCTCAACAAACTGATCAACTAGACCCCCAACCCCAGCTAAACTCAAAATATGAGGTAAAAAAAAAATTTGATAATACAATACCTACAAAACTATATTATAATTTAAACTCAATGTATGCCAAATCAACCCAAATGCTCAGGTATGTGTCATCTAATTAAGATCTCTTGACCCACCTCTTTTTGAGTGAGTATGGGTTTCTTTTATTACTTTTCATTAAAAAATTTTACTTTATTTTTTCTTCCTGTCAGCAAAAATTTTTGCATTACACATGAATGAGAAAAAAAAATGATTTAAATAACCAAATATGCAAATTTTATTCTAGAGGAGTGCTAGGGGCACTCGCCTTCTGCACTCTCTGGCCAACACTTTCACTTTTATTGGGCCACGTTATTCTAATTGGTAAGAGGTTGCACTCAAAGCGTGAAACAAGCTTAAGTGGCCCAATGAAAGGTGAAGTGTTTGTTGGAGAGTGCAAGAGGCGAGTGCCCCTAGCACTGCTCTTTATTCTATCCAGCAATCCTCCATCAAACACACTGCTAATGACTTCAACTTTCTAGAAACATGCCAAAGGAAAATCCAACTATCAAATGGCAAACAACTACATAGCCCAACCATTCTCAATAACAAGTTAATGATTCACTTCATCAACTTCATAAGCTCTACATAGAATAGCAAGTTAGCAACAAAACACATTAGTAAAAATGATATACAACCTGAAGACATTTGAATGACAGAAATGATGCATTTTTCTGTTAAGACCTTTAAATGGAAGAAAAAAAAAAACCTTTTTATGAAAAGAAAAGGAAAAAAAAGGAAGAGAAAAATGAATTTTGTATCATTCAATCCTGAAACAAACGATGAAAAGAGATAATGAAACAGTTACCAGGCAATTAGTGTGGAAGGCATCCAAATAAGCATCGTCCAAAGGCGAATGCACAACCCTACTGCTTGCATCCAAAAACCCATCAACAATGCTGTTCACGTTCTCACGTCCAATCTCTTGTATCAACTTTTCTTCATCTGCTTCGTCACCGGCATATGGATCGTCAGCTTCCTCAGAGTACTTAGCATTGCTTCTGTCCACTACCATCCGTCTCTCTCCTCTCCCCCGTCCCCTCCCTCTTCTCCTTCTCCTTCCCCTTCCCCTTCCTCTACCACCTTCCGCTCTTGCTCTCACCATCCCACCAGCATCCTCACCATCACCTTCACGCGAAAGGATTCCCATTGCCTTCTTCACAGCCTCTTCCTGGCTCAACTTAGGCTGAGCTGGGTGTGGGTCTGCGGCAGACGCAGACCTGGAAGGCTGCTGCCGGACCCGAAGATGATGGTTTTCTTCCTTGACTTGCGCTGCAGGATCAGATTGCTTCAAAGGTTTCCCTCCTCCAGCGCCGGGTAAAACTGAGAGTATGCTAGATGGGAGATTAGTTTCACTCGACTGAGTGGGTTTCGGCTTCACCGCTGCTTCAATGGCGGAATCAAAACCATCGACATCCTTTTTCGAGATGAAAGTAAGTTGCTTGGATTGCCCAGTTAGTGATGACTCATTAGCAGCAGATGATTCGCTGGCGACCCGGCCACGACCAGACCCAAATTGAGGCTACCTGACGGGGGAAACAAAGGAATAAAAAGATGGAAGAACTGGGTCAGACGGCCTACTACAGCCGCGACCAGGTCCAACTTGGGTTGGCTGCGGCGAGCCTTGCCCCAACTCATCCGATTCGGGTTGAGCAAAATCAAACTGGGAAGGAGCTGGGGGGAAAGCCATCACCTTAGCCGCGCCCACGGCCGGAAGTGGGGAAGGGGGATGATGATTGGAGTAGAAAAGGGGTTTGGGTCAGCGATCCATTGTAGTGATTGCTGGAAATTTTCATAGGATCCTCCTATGAAAACCAGATACTCAAATCGCAGCTGAAACTTGAAGCTAGGGTTTTGGATATCTTTCAGAGCACAACGACGCCGCTTGACATAAACTAAATAAATAAAAATGATAATTTAAAAAAAATATCCTCAAAAACAATCTGCTCAGACCCACCTGAAAGGCTGAAATTATTCCTTCCAAATCGTCTCTAGTTCTGAAGGGAGAGTTTTAAAGAGAGAAAGGGATCAACTTTTAGCTTCTCTCTTGAACTGTCTCTCTGTCCTTCTCCTTGAACGAGTTTAGGGTTCTCAGTTTCAGTTCCAAGATTGTCAGTTCTCGTTTTCATTTTCCTTTTCTGAATCACTAAGGTTCAATCTGTTGCTTTTTTTCTAGTTTGTTTAGTTGAGATTGTGCTGGCTCTGTGAATGTTAGCTAAATCCTTGCTATTATTTTGTTAAAGTTCCTGTTTTTAGTGGGTTGTGGTGGTAGATTTGTGTGCTTTTATGATCTTCTGCTAGAACTTTCATTTGGGTGCTGAGAAATGCTCTTGGCAACAGTGGGGACATCTTTGTATTCAAGCTTTTGTTTCATCTATGACATTTCTTTTCTGGACTTCTCTGCTTGTAGATTATAGTTATGATACCGTGTATGTGCCATCATTTGTTTTAATTTTTGTGGGACAATGCAAAACACTAAAGATGGTTAGGACTATTCCTATTTTCTATTAAATTATAATTTGGCTATTATACCTGTGCATGCCTGTCTGTGTGTACAGTATATCAGTATACTTTTAGGTCATTTGGCTTAAAACACATAAGAGATACTCATCCAATAAGCAAGTAATAGCAGAGGAATGAGTGGAAAGTAGCTTCAACAAATGAAAGATGATCACTCTAGTATTCTTTCAGTATCTTTTATGAGTCTATTAAGTATTATGGCATTGCACTTCTAGCATGTAGTGTCTTAAGTTAGCACTTAGCAAGGTCTTATGATAAAAATTAACTCATGTTCTTCAAAAATTTGGATCATACAGCGAGTTCTTGGGGATGCTCAATTTTGCTTGGTGCAGTTATAACCGAGTTTGCTTAAGTTAGCTCATGAGTACATCAAGGCATCTTTGATTTGTTACATTGTTTTTGATGGCACGGCTTTAATGGTAAGCCAGTCAGCCTTATATATAGCTTCAATCCCAAAGTATTTTTTTTTTTTTTTAAAAAAAATTCAGTTATACTAAAGTTAACTATCAATTGAATGTAACTCGAGTAATTATTTTGCATTGGTCATTGCCTTTAAATCTTAACAGGTCATCATCAAATAAATAAACAATAGCTGGAGGAAAGGACAAAAGCAGCTTTAATCCAGTGAGAGATGATTCTGGTATGCTTGCTTTATCTTTTATAAGTCTTAATTAGGCACCATGCCTACACTTTTGAGAAGACTCTTATGATATACCTAAGTTTGTTGCCTGCTTGAATCTGAATTGTACAAATTGTTTTTGTAGGTGTGCAATTTTGCTCCCAGCAGGAAGGGTGTCCCTATATCTTCCTACTTGCATGGCAATTCACCAATTCAAGGGTCAGACAAGAGAATAGTAGCTTATGGACTTCCTTTTTGCAACTCAGGCATAGCCGAAAATGCAAACCTCAGGATATCAATTCTCACCAAGTAGTGTTCCTTCATGTAGGAAAACAATGACAGGTATATTCTTGAACCCAATTGCTGGAAGTTAACATAAGCTTTTTGAATTCTTATAATTATTTTGTTTTTGCAGATTTGATTTCTGCTGTCTGGTTGCTCATAAGTTTCCCATGATTGCTACTGATGTTCCTTCAAAAGCATCAATATGGTACGTTGCAAGAAAGAAATGACTTGAGTTATTAGTTAAGAGAATCACAAAGCAGAAAGAAGGCAATAAAGATTACTTGGTTGTTTTTGGGTTTGTGCTTTTCAAGTAAACTCTTATCTGCTCAGGGAATGTAGTGCCTAATGATTTCACCTTGGTAATGCAGGAGTTTTCACAACTTGTTTTACAGATAAATGGGTGGATGGTAACAACTAGAGTGCTTCTGCTAAGAACAGCCTACATACAGAAGCATCTTTGTTATTTGACATCAGTAATGCCACAGATTTGCTTGCCACAACCAACTCAAAGGATTACAGGGAAGCAGATCACTCCTTGCCAATTGCCATGTCCTGCTGCAGTCCTAGTCATGAACACTAGATAGTCTCTTTTGGTCATACCCAGATAGAAATACTTGAATTATGGATACTGATCCTTAGATTGAATGAGATTAAGGTGCTCATTACCATGCTTGCTTATAGACCAAGTCGGTGGGAGTCCAAGACTCTGAATTCAATAATTTCTTATTGCAACACTGATATTAAAGAATATTTAAGTCCATAGTTGATTCCCTTTTAAAGAATATTGAAGCTTTAAATACAGAAGCTGCTTTCCATGCCTTTTCATGCATAAAGGTTTGCTCACAAGAACCTTCTCAAATCACTCCCACGGAAAACAATTTCAGGAATGCATAAACTTGGAGTATCGATTTCAAATATGGTTGCTCCTGTTCTCCCAGGAAACAAGGAAAGAGTAAAACAGAAAAAGCAACACAATGAACCTTGCTTCAAGGGAAAGTTTCATATGGGAAGCAAGATAGTGAAGCGTTTTCGGGGGAAAAAATTCAAGCCTTTCAAAACAAAACACTTGACTTCCGGAGCTAACAAAATCAATAATTAGAGCAAATTGCACAATATGTTCAGCTTCGATCATCTGGGGAAAAAAAAAAAAGAAAAAAAGAAAAAAAGAAAAAGATATGAAAATTACAACAACAGTGAGATACCATATGGGTTGATCTGCTTTGCCATCAAGAATGTGTCCTCTGCGCCACCTGTGTCACACGTATACTTCATAAGAAAAAGATACCTGCTATGATGTATTCTTTTTGATGTGTTAAGTTAATTTGATTTTTGTTGGTTAAGCATCTCTTAAAAGTTTTTTAACGTGTATTTTTCTCTTTTTTAATGTGTCTCAAAACTGAATTCCTTCCTGTATCCCAAAGCCATCTTAAATCCATTTCTTTCATTTTATCTACTTGAAGTGCCATTATACCTTAACTTTTGAAAGACCTCTTCTTGCCGATCACCACCATGTCCTGTCTGAGCAGTGGAATCCAGTGATGCTACGGAAACATGAAAATAAATGTGAAAATGCAAGTTAAAATAAGAAAAAAAGAAAAAAAGAAAAAAGGCGAATACCGAAGGGAAACATAAAAGAATAACAACATTAGATTGAGCTATGTTCCAAATATATTGCACAAATAGATCTAGTTGTGCAATATAGACAAGAAGACATTCACAAGGAAATGCATTGTCTGAATGCAAAACAAGATCCCTACAGAAGATATGGATAGAATGGTACAAGCAAAGATGGATGGATCAATAAATAGTTGAGTTCAACTATAATCAATTTCCTAAGTCATAAAATTTTGCAAGACCCAGCATACGCCATAAAAAGAATTTTTTGATAGCATATGAGAAAAAAAAAATCCCGATATGAAAATAAAAAAGAGAAAAATTACTCATAGTCTTCATAATTGAGCGTGCATATCTAATTTCTTAGTCATCTTACGAAACGTGATTAGCGTGAGGTATCATTGTACAATTACATTCTTTATGTTCATCAGGAAAAAAAGGTACATTCTTTATGAACCAATTAGTCAAATAATGGTAATATTCTGCCGAGTATAAGAAACGAAAATAGAACTCCAATATATATCATTTACCTAATGAATTGGCGAGGACGAAGCGCCTAGTCTCAAGACTCTCATCAATTCGATGCTGTTTCGGGAGAAGGAAAAGAAGACGAGAGGTCTATTCAATAGAGATTACACGAACAAGCTCGCGTAGAGCACCCATAGTTTGATGGTATATCAATGGAGAAAATCCAAGACGGGAAAACGACGATGTTGAACACGATTTGGAAAGATTGATCATGAATAGCAGTGGGATAACGAAAACCCTAGTATTCAGCGAATGCCAAAATTGCAATAGAGCTCTCCTTCTGGCCTTCGTCCATTTTGAATGTGCAGGTCCTTTGTTGTGTTTTATATTCCACGGATAAGGATCCAGCTATTGGTCCAGCGTAAAGTCCAGCTTGTTATGTTGGGCTGCTCTTTGATGCATTTTTTAATTTTTAAGAAGAAAACTGTTTTGGATTTGGTTGAGCCTAAATTGAAGGGTTTAGAGGTGTAAAGTGGACCATGAACTATAGAGGGCTGTAAGTGGAATACTAATTGGATCGGATGGGCACTACGGATGGATTAGATTTACTAACAAAACTCAAGTCCGTATTAAATATGGATTTGGATCCCATCTATGGACATTTTCTCATTCAAGTCAGGCTGAGGTTGTTATCATTATTAAATTTATTAAAGTTATTAATTTAATTAAAATTTTAGTAATTCATGTACATTATTTTTAACAATTAATTATAATTTTTAAAAATAATTGTTTATAAATTAATATTAATTTGTTAAATAATAAATAGTAATTATTTCATTAATTATTAATTACTTTTAAAAATTAAATTAAAATAAAAATTCAATAATTTTGTATAATATTAATAAATATAATGGTAGCCATAACTTACGGCTTTGGCTAGAAACAACAAAAGAAATAGAAAATTCTTTGCTTCTCATTGATGCAAAATTGATTTCTAGAATTTGGTTTCTGATTTCTCGTTTGCTTCTCATTGTTACTGCTCGTCTGTTCCCCCCCAAAATTAACAGCAATATTGGTATTTCAGAAGAAAAAGTAAATTTGTAAGTTATTTCTGATTAAAAACTGCTCCAAAATATTTTGTTCTATTATTGGTCTTGACAATCATTGCAATTTAAGTTTACCTGCATGTTTTGAGTTTATGTTATGTAGAAGAATTCTATGACAGAGGAGGATTTCAGGAGGAAGTTCCTGCTGGACAATTGCTTACATTTTTTGATGGCATGTGCTTCACTAGTAAGTCAATCAGCCTAAAAGACAACTTCAATCCCAAATTACATTTTTAGATGACTGCTCAATTCCTTCACAATTCACATTCACTATACAGGAGCCTTAATTCACTTTACACAGGGAGGTACATATGAGTAGGGGTGGGCATTAGGGTGGGTAACCGAAGGGTTACCTAGAAATCAAATTGAAAAAATGAATTCGGCTTGGTTTTAATGGTTTTTAAGTTTTATTGTTTTGGTTTTGATATTAATCGAATAAATTTTGGTTTGGTTTTGGTTGAATTTTTTACAAATCAAAAACCAAAAATGAGCTTCTGAAAATCGAAATTTAGATAAATATGACAAAATATGAGATAAAATATAATCTATTATTGAAAAAAAATTGATTGATATTTATTTAGTAAAAACCAAAACCGAATCAATTTTATTGATAACCAAACTAATTGATTTGTGAAAATTTCGATTCTGATTTGGTTCTCAAAATTGAAGAAAAATTTCTTTTGATTATTTTAAAACCAGTTTTGATTTCAACCAAAACCGGTTTTTGCCCACCCCAACATATGAGGCTGGATACTTCTGCTGAGAACATTGTAGAGAAAAAGAGGACAAGCAACTTCTTCACTAATACATAACGATGGTATGCCTGCTAGATCTTTTTTAAGTATTAAACATTAGTGAAGTTAACAAGTGTCTTGTAAGTCGAGTTGGAAATTAATTTCTTCATGAAAGTTAATAGTCATACTAATGCACCTAGAATTTGCTCGTCTTACACATCAATAGGATGTACAAGAACACTCATGCTATGTCTCTGCTATTACAACATGACAATATTTGATATATTCTAATCGTTTTGATGCATTAAAAGAGCAATAGAGACGCTAATTACATCTTGCCATGTTGTATCGCAGTCCTGGTCATGAACTCTATCCAAACCGATCAAGCCTTCAAAGACCAGAATCAGTTTGCCGTGGTATAAAGAGACACTATTATTAAAGTAGGAGTAAGAGCCTTGTGATGCAGTCAACAAAAAGCATTTGGAATTCTCACAATTATTTTGCTTTTGCAGATTTGTTCGTTGACATCAGTTATGCTACAGACTTACAAGCCACAACAAATACAAAGGATTACAGGGAAGCAGATCAGTTATTGCCGTGTCCTGTTCCAGTCTTAGTCATGAACACCCTCTCTTTTATGGTCATGTCACCAACAGACAGAAATACTTGAGTTTTGGATATTGATTGATTGATTTTTTTCTTAGATTGCATGAAATTAAGAAGCTGATTACCGTGCTTTTTAGATGGAATAAATTCTTGTTGCGACGCTGGTATCATAGTTCACCTTCAGCAACACTTCCTGAAGATCGATTTCCTAGTAAACAACATTGAAGCTTTAAATAATAAAAGCTTCTTTTTATGCTTCTTTATGTTATGTTATGCATTAAGGTTTGCTCCCAAGAACCTGCAGTGACGCTATGTAAATAACCGGAGCATGGCAGCAAGGACAATTTGAAAGTTCATTCTATTACTGTAGTTTTCCAGGGATGCTAAAATTACAATATGGAGAGCCCTTCTTGCACCCTGCACCGTCAAGCCTAAAATTACAATATGGGATGCTAAATGCACCCTTAAGCAGTGGTGTAGTTAGAGGGGCCTGGAGGGGCCCAAGGTCTCCCAAAAAATATTGAAATTTTTTTTAAGGTTTAATTATATATAAAATAAAAAATGAAAGTATATATGCTAAATATTTGGTAAAAAAAGAAAATTTTAAAATTGATTGTTAATTATATCATAATTTATTTTCTAAACTCATATTATTTTCTTTTACTAATTCAAAATATAATCTTATTATTTTAACACTTTTCATAATGGACTTCTAATTTATTTAGGGACGTTCTTTTCTACAATTATTGATTATTGAAATTATTAATTGTTTTGAGATTTAGACTTTAAATTATTGATTATTTGACCTTTAATTTTCTTTAATGTAATTATTAATTGATTATATTGTTTGATTTCTAATTTGTTTGGGAGAAAAGTTTTAGTTTTTTTAATTAGTTCTTGCCGGCTAGTGAGGAAAAATTATTATTAATTTTAAGTTACTATGAGTTTATGCTAATTATCTTTTTGTCTTGTTTTATACATATTTTATGGTTATTTGTTAACTTTGTTGTTAACAAATGTTTTAACCTTAAATTTAAGTTTTACATTTATTACAGTCGTATTAGTTCCTTACCATACCTTGCAAATCTATATTTCATATACATGATTTGTTTTGTTTTATTTTAATTTACAATTTATTTTTTGGCGTAAAATACTCTATTTCTAGAAAGGCTTTAGCCTTAATGATTTAATTTAATCAATTTATGAAGCATTTCTATTTCGGTTTATGATTTTTTTATTTTTTGAAATTTAGGATTTAGATATTTTTTAGCTGTGTTTATGTTTTATCATTATTGTATTCTTATTTCTTTATTATTTTTAGAGTATTTTTTATTTGTAATTTATAGGTTGTTTTAATAATAAAAAATTATGAATGTTAAATAACCCATTTAACTTGAAGTTTTTTTTTTATAATTTATAATTGAGCTCCTTTTAATGTTGAATTCTAATTATGTCACTACCTTTAAAGATACAATTTTTAAATTTTTTTATAAGAAAAATATTTTTAATATTATATACAATTGATTCTTTAATAAAACATCACAAATAATTGTAAGTTACAATTGCATCTAACATTAGAAGTTGTAATTGGATGAAAAATTAAAAGTCATTGTCGCCTTTTGAAACTGTGTTTGAGCATTCAACTTACTTTATGAAATCATCTCAATATTACCGCACATAAATTGCTATGCAATGACGCAGAAGAAGCACGGTGCGCGCCTTTTGACAGAGAAATTCTACAGGTGGAGCCCACCGCCATCGTCAAAGGTGCCTAAGTGCCAATTACCACACTCATTGTTATGCAATGACGCAGAAGAAGCATGGTGCACGCCTCTTGATAGCAAAATTCTACAAGTGGAGCCCACTGCTATGGTCAAAGGTGTCTAAGTGCTAAGTACCGCACGTATTGCTATGCAATAATCACGCAAAAGAAGCATGCGCGCGCCTTTTGATGGAGAAATGACTTATAAAAATGACATATTTATAAAAATGACTTAGAAGATATTTTTAAAAAAATTAATGTTGTATAGGTGGACTTCTTCATTTTTTTAAAAAATTTGTCTGAAATAAACTCATCTTATCGTTAATAGTTTAAAAATTAATAATTAATTTAAATATTTTATTTATATAAATTATACATATAAAATTTTAAATTAATCTAAAAAGTATTTATTTTTTGATAAAAAAACTCTATTCACTTATATATGTTTAATAATATTAAATTTTTTATAATTACTAAAATAATTGATTTTATTAAATTAATTTAAATATTAATACACATAATTTATACAAATAAAAATTTTAATTTAATAACTTATTTTAAAAATATTTATTAAAATATAATAATTTTAAAAATGTCCTCCATCAAGTGTATATTGGAAAACACTTCCTTTATATATATAATACTATTAGGATTGAGAGAGTCTAAGACGCTTAAAATGAATTGGAAATAATAGTATTTTGAGAGGAGAGATTTTTTTTTTTTTAGTTTTTGGCTCGGCCTCCTAGAGAGAATTACTGTATTAGGTGGAAGAAAACGATGGCAAATTGCCTCCATTCTCGTGGTGTCTCGCTGAGATCCCGTCACAGGGATGAAAAAAAATATTTCTTTTCGCATGACGAAGATGGGGGACATTTTTTTTTTCTGTAAAATTTTACAAAAAAAGTTATTCTTTACTCACGTGCTCTGTGGAGGTCTCGATCTTCAAAAAAAAAATTTTTTAAATATATAAATTAATTTTATTTTAAATTTAATTTAATTTTTAAACCTAAATTTAACCTAATAAAAATTAAACTTAACTTAATTTTACTAACTCAACCCAACCTAACCCAATTCAACTCACGCAATCCAATCCATTATTAATCATTTAATCCTAACCTTACTCATTTCTCATCGATCTTACCTTTGACCTTCCTCTCCTCTTTTGCCGTCGACACTCTTGAAGATCTCATACCCTAAATCCCTCCATTTCTATTGCCCTTCTGCCTTTCTCGCCCTTCTGCCTTCACTTTTACCTTAAATCTCAAACCCTCACTTTCACTCTTCAAGATTCAAGAATCTCATACCCTAATCTCAAACCCTCCATTGGTGCCTACTGATCTGCTACTGGAGCTGCTGTCGGAGCCACACTGCTGCTAGAGTGGATTGCTGCACACTACTGCTAGGTGCTGCTACCAGACACTACTGTTGGGTGCCGCTGCTAAACACTGCCGTTGGGTGCTGCCGCCGTTGCACGCCGCTGCTGGGTGCTGCTATTGCACACCGTTGCTGGCTGCTGCCGAATCCATCTGAATACATCTGGTTTGTTGATTTAGCTATTTATTATTTGGAATTAAACTTTATTTATGTTTGAATCATTTATATTTGAGTTTATATTTAAAGAATTTTTATATTTAAATTTTTAAAATTTTATTTATTGTAATTGAATATTAATTAATTATATATAAAAAATTTATATTTTAATAAATGAGAAGCTAAATCTACCCTCCTTAAAAAATCTCGACAAGGACAGAGATGAAAAGGGACTCCCTGATTCTACGGGATCCATTGCCATCCCTGGACTGCAGACTAATGAGTATTTATATAAAATAGGTAGCTTTGGGTGAGAATTTTATTGTATTTACAAAAAAATTGGACCTATTTTGGGGCCATGATTACATAGATTTTATTTTATTTTTTATCAAGGACAATTTTTGGCGGTAGGGGATTGAATCCCATAGGTTGGGTGATATACACCATTACTAAGTGGCTTACAAAGGCAGGTGTGTATGATTACATAGATTAAGATATCTCAAAGGGATAGATGTTGAAGATATGTTTGTTGTATTGTTTTATAATTAATATATATTTAAAATAAAATATATTTAATTTTATAAATCTTTTAATTAAGAGA